CAGATATTTCTCTATCTGGGCACAATGAGAATTTATCTGCTGAACAAAACTCTGCATTGGCGACAGGAAAGGCATCCGGCCATTAAAACACTCTGCTAGCTCCATTCAGTTGCCCAGACTCCCACCCCTCCTGCAAGGGATTACGGGGTCATTAAATGATGATGAATGAGGCATTATGTGAAGAAATGGTGCCTACATGGCAGTCTGTGTCTCTGTGTTACTGAGTTATGATCCTTCTTCAGGTCATTTATCTCAGAATCTAACAAAGCTGACATTTTCAAAGCAGCAGATAATATAACCTTGGCAAGGAGATTTTTTTTTTTTTCCAAACTCCACTGCTGCAAGAAAAGATGATTAAAATAATGTCTAAAAGGCAACAGTAAAGGCAAGGCAAAAGGGAAGGGGAAGAAAAGGGGAAAGGAAATAAATGGATAATAAAAAGAAAGGAAGAGAAGGAAATAGATAGGGGAGGAAGGAAAAAAAAAAGGAAGTAAATGGTGAAAAAGGAGGGGAGGGAGGAAAGAAGGGAAAAGGAAGGAAAGGAAGGAATGGATGAAGAAGAGAAAGGGAAGAAAGTAAATAGATGAAAGGAGAGGAGAGGAGAGGAAAGGAAAAGAGAAAAAGGGAAAGGAAGAAAGGGAAGAAAAGGGAAGGGAAGAGAAGGAAAGGAAAGGAGAAATGGAAAGGGAAAAGGAGGGAAAAGAAAGGAATAAAGGAAAAGAGGAAGGAAGGGAAGAAAAGGAAAAGAAACAGAAAGGAAAGGAAAAGGAAATGGAAAGAAGGAAAGGAAGAAAAGGAAGGGAAGAAAAGGAAAGAAACAAAGGAAAGGGAAAGGAGGAAAGGAAGAAAAGTGAAGGAAAAAAGAAAAGAAACAGAAAGGGAAAGAGAAAGGAAAGGGAAAGAAAGGAAAGGGAAAGGAAGGAAAAGAAAGGAAAGGAAAGGAAGAAGAGGAAGGGAAGGGAAGAAAAGGAAAAGAAACAGAAAGGGAAAGGAAAAGGGAAAGTGAAAGAAAGGAAAGAAGAAAAGGGAAGGAAGAAAAGGAAAGAAGGAAAGGAAAGGGAAGGAAGAAAGGAAGAAAAGTGAAGGGAAAAAAGAAAAGGAACAGAAAGGAAAGAGAAAGGAAAGGGAAAGAAAAAAAAAGGAAGGGAAAAGAAGGGAAAGAAAGAAAGGAAGGAAGAAAGGAAGGGAGAAAAGGAAAGAATCAAAAGGGAAAGAGAAAGGAAAAGGAAAGGAAGTAAATGGATGAAAAAGAGAAGAGAAACTCGATCACTTGAACCCTAACCTCATAGTAAAGAGACTCTTCACCTCTTCCCCTTATTTAATTAAGAAAATATGTTCAACAGCAAAACAATTGCCTTCCTGCTAAATAGAGGCCCAATCCATAGAGTTTTTAGTCTAAAACCAGCCTTAGTCTAAAATCAGAGATCAACACTCTCTTAATTAACAAAATGATACTACAGATAATCCTCGGCTTACAGCTATCAGTTTAACAATTGTTCAAAGTTACAACGGTGCTTTGTTTAAGACAAATACAGCATCCAGGATCACTGGATTGCCATATGTGACTTCCCAGCATACTGTCGACAAGCAAAGTCAAATCCGGGAAGCTGGATTCGCTTGGCAATCGCATGACTCACTTAAAGACCATGGCAAAGAATGGGGTGTAACTCATTAAACAACAAGTCCCTGGCCCAGTTGTGGTCGTAAGTCAAGGACTCCCTGTAATTCTCCTGCTGCAGAACATGACGATAACGTCTTTTCGAAATAATAATGGTGAGGATAATAATTATGATGATAGTGACGATGTGGTATTACTTGGTACAGATAGTCTTTGACTTACAGCCATAATTGATCCCAAAATTTCAGTTGCTAAGCGGGACAGTTGTTAAGTGAGTTTTGCCCCATTTTACGACCTTTCTTGCCACAGTTGTTAAGTGAATCACTGCACCTGTTAAGGTAGTAACATGGTTGTTGCTGGAATCTGGCTTCCCCTTGACTTTGCTTGTCAGAAGGTCGCAAAACGGGGATCACGTGACCCCCGGGACAATGCAACCGTCGTAAATATGAACCAGTTTTTATTTATTTATTTATTTAATTTTTATACTGCCCTTCTCCCGAAGGACTCAGGGTGGTGAACAGTCAAACATATATACATATAAAAATGTGAAATAAAAGCAATTTAAAATAATTAAGACAATTTGGCTCATCATTAAGTTAAGATCTTCAGCATAAAATTTAGACAATTAGAAAAAATTTATGCCAGCCCGGTTTGGTGAAACAGAAAGGTCTTAAGTTCACGACGGAATGTACGGAGATCTGGATCATTCGTATCCCTGGGGGTATCCTGTTCCAAAGGGTAGGTGCCCCCACAGAGAAGGTCTCTCCCCCAGTCGACATTGCTTTAGTGACGGTACCCTGAGAAGGCTCACTCTATGGAGCATACTGGTTGGTGGGAGGTTATCGGTTGCAGAAGGTGGTCTCGTAGGTACCCAGGTCCTAAGCCATGGAGCACTTTAAAGGTAAGAACCAACACCTTGAAGCGCACTCGAAGAAGCCACTGGGAGCCAGTGCAGTTTGCGTAGGAGAGGTGTTACATGTGAGCGCCATGTCGCTCCCAATATCACCCCGCGCGCCCGCATTCTGGACCAGTTGGAGCCTCCGCGTGCACCTCAAGGGGAGCCCCATGTAGAGAGCATTGCAGTAGTCCAGTCGAGAAGTTGACAAACATCCAAATTTTGATCACGTGACCATGGGGATGCTGCAATGGTCACTGGTGTGAAAAACGGTCATAACATAAGTAACTTTTTTCAGTGGCGTTAGAACTCTGGTCACTAAATGAACTGTTGTAAGTCGAGGATTACCTGCATGGTGTTTTTATAAAGATGTCTCTGCTAAAACATTTCCCTAGATGGGGATGAAATGCAGGCAGAGGTATGAAGGTAAGAAAGGATGTACATTTGTGTGTGTGTATGTGTGTGTATGTAGACACACAAAACACAACACCTGCCCAACACACAAACACACACACACACACACACACACACACACACACACACACACACGATAACAAAAGGCTTGTTTCCAGGCTAGAGAAAAGCTTGCCGCTTGCTCAGGTGTCAAAATTTCAATGTGTTTGTCTGGGCTGTGTAAATGTCACAGAAAAAGCGAGCGAGAGATTCTGCCTCGCAGGAAATGAACAAAGGCAATTTAACAACTAATGAGCTGGATTTTTTTTTTTTTTTTTTGGCCTCCGTAGAAGCTAGGAAGCAGCTTCTGCGCCCTGCGAAATGCTAGCCAGATTCACAAGATGAATCTGTTTAGCCAAGTTGAGTTAAAAAGCCAGCGGCTCCATTCTCACAACCATTTAGCTTTTAATCTTGGTTAGGTTATTTTTTTCTGAGGCAACATATAGGGCGAAATCTAACTCGTTGGGTCAGAATAAGAGAAGAACAGAGTTGGAAGGGAGTTATATATCAAGCAGGATATATAACGTTTCACCATCAGTGAGCTGTTGGGCAGCATTACTTGGTCTGTTGTGTGGATGTTTGGGTGGTTTAGGGGTGAGGAATTTGTGGTGGGTGAGTATGTTTGGGGATTGTTATGTGTGTTGGACCTGGTCTTTGGGTGTTAAGTGAATTTTCGTTGTATGGGTATACTGTGTATACACGTACAATGACAATAAAGTTATTATTATTTCAGTTTATGGATCTGTAGATTGGGAGAGCTCAGAGCACGGCCAATTTGGTAAGTGTGTGGCACTTCCAACCTGTAAAATACTGGTAATCCATTCTTTCTTTCTTTCTTTCTTTCTTTCTTTCTTTCTTTCTTTCTTTCTTTCTTTTCCTTCTTTCCTTTTCTTTCCTTACCTTACCTTACCTTAAGCAGAGGTGCATTTGAAAGCTTAACAGACTAGATTTGAATGGGAGGCCACCAGGAAATAATAGGATTATGAAGTTGGGGGGGGGGAACTACAGGTAGTCTTTGAGTTACAACCATAATGGAGCCTGCCCATCATAATTTTTATTACCTTTTTTTTTTTTTTTTTTTTTTTTTGCTGCGGTCATAAAGTGAACATGGCAGTCATAAAGCAAACATGACGGTCCTTAAGCAAACCCATTGCTTCCTATGGCACGGTTCTGATGAAAACCAGAAGTCCCAGTTTCGGGCAAAACTGTTGTAAAACACGATCATATCACCACGGGATGCTGCAAATGTGGCTTTATTGCCAAATGCCCAAAATGCGATCACGTGACTGCGAGGGGGGGGGCAGGTGGAACTTTGGACCCAGATGAGATAAGTCCCTTTTCCCAGGATGGTCGTAACTTTGAACTTCGACACTAAGCGAGGACTACCTGTACGGTGGGTAGAACGTTTCCAAGCATGTGAAAAGGCCTTTTAAAGATCTTAAAAAGATCTTTAATCTTCCTGCTTTCGGCACTTGAGAGAGGCCGTCCTTTTGAAAAATCCGCAGACGTATTCTTAAATTCGTAAATGGGGACATTGTCCTTTGTTGACTGTTCCAGCCGGCTGTTTGAACAAGACACAATCGCCTCCTTCTCCTAAGGAGCTGGATTGGCACCCAAACGCAGGTTTTGTGGCATACAAGCCCACAACAGATTCCATGCAACCCCATGGCCTAAAATCTTTGCCTTCGCCGGGCAAAGAGAAAGCAATTTCTTTGCAGGAGTCAATCTACCAGCAACCTCAGCTGCAGTGATAAAGGAATTTTTTTTTTAATTGCCAACGGACTCATTGCTTTTCCAAAATCGAGGCTAAAATTGCTTTATGTGTGCGAGCTCCTACCTATGTATCAATTAAGGTGCTAGTCCTCAGGGCTATGGATGAAGCTACACATACACATACCTCTACAGATAGTCCTGAACTTACAACCGTTCGTTTAGTGGCCATTTGGAAGTTACAACGGACAGCTGGAGAGTTGCTTCTAAACTCTTGTGTGATCTAAACAGGCTTTAATCGGCGTTTTTGTGCTTTCCTTACAGACAGTGTGCCTTAAGTGCCTTGAGAGACGTCAAACTCTACCTGTCTGAGGAAGGTGGACAGATTGCAGTAAGTGACATTCCTTGAAGCACCTCGGAGAAGACATCTTGTGAAAGGTGTCCTTGTTCGGGAGAGCCCAGCCTGGTCTAATTTAAATTGTCTTAACGAACCTCCTCCAGATCTATCCTGTGGTTTTTAAATTTGCAGGAATCCTTAAAGATCTCTGAGTCCAAGCTTAATGATTCCAATAAAGGAGAATATTTGTGACTCAGCGTTGACATGAGGGGTTCCTTGGTGGTCCCTGAGTTTGGTTCAGGGGTGAAATTCAGCAGGTTCTAACAGGTTCTGGAGAACCGGTAGCGGAAATTTTGAGTAGTTCGGAGAACCGGCAAATACCAACTCTTGACTGGCCCCAGATTGTATCCTTCCCCTGGAGTGGAGTGGGAATGGAGATTTTGCAATATCCTTCCCCTGGAGTGGGGTGAGAATGGAGATTTTGCAGTATCCTTCCCCTAGAGTGGGGTGGGAATGGAGATTTTGCAGTATCCTTCCCCCAGGAGTGGGGAGGGAATGGAGATTGTGCAGTATCCTTCCCCCAGGAGTGGGGAGAGAATGGAGATTTTGCAGTATCCTTCCTCTGGAGTGGGGTGGGAATGGAGATTTTGCAGTATCCTTCTCCTGCCACGCCCACAGAATTTGAATTTCACCACTGGTTTGGTTGTATTCTTACAGACGTTTCATAACCCAACTAAGTAACATCATCAGTTCCCGTTACTTAGTTTGGGTAATGAAATTCTGCAAGAAAACAACCAATCTCAGAGAGCACCAAGGACCTCTCAAATTTATAATTCTTAGCATCTTGATAGCTAAAAATATGTGGGATGGTAGTCTGGCTTTTCTGAAGAGGAGAAGAGATAAACATTGCCCTGGGGACCTTAAGGATGTGTCCCATCTTAAAAAAACCAAAACTCTTAATTATTCCACGCATCCATCCCATGTCCACGCTGGAGGAATTGCTTTCAATTATGGAAAGCAGAACAATTGTGCTCATCTTAATTTAAAGATGGTTGGGAAAAGTTTATCTCTTTCTTGAAAACCAACCGACAAAAATGAGCTGTCTGATGTCTTTTTTTTTATCTTTCTTCCCTTCCCAGGTTTTTGACGCCACCAACACAACCCGCGAGCGAAGATCCATAGTCTTGCATTTTGCCAAAGAAAACGGATATAAAGTGAGTGACATTCTTGAACCAAAAACGTGAGGGGATTTTAAGACTTGGCCTACTGCTGTTTGTACAGGTTCCCTCCCTCTGGACGTAGCCGGCACCTTGCCCAGACTCAGATCTTTCCCCAACCCAATTCCCTACAGGTAGGGCTGGCTTACAACTGCCATAATTCCCAGCAGGGTAAGGTGTCAGCACTTCGACCTGCATTTACTCTAGTGCTGACGTAAGAAGGAGAAGAGGGGGTAGCTGGCAAGAGGACGCTTGACTTTTCACCTATTTACTTTCCCTGAAGATAATATCCCCTAGGAGATGAGATGGGAGGGGGGGGACATTCCTGGGAGCTGAAGTAGTAGATATGGGGAGAGTGATTTGGAAGATGGCCAATGAGACGCAGAGAATTGGGGAACGGAAAGGGAAGGTTTGGGGTCAGGAAGTCAGTGTTGGCTACGACATAATCGGGGACAGATGGTCGTGCTTAATAAATGAAAGATTTCACCAAAGACTATTTGTTTGGAAATGCAATTTATTTTATTTGAGACGACATCGAAACCTGACATAAGGTTTTTGGGCCTTTCCGCCCAGCACATTTAATAGGAACCCTTTGGAGAACATTGGTGTAGCTGTAGGTCTGCTTCTCGGGACAAACGGGTAGTTCTCGTTTTACAACCATTCGCTTAGTGTGGTGCGGTGGCTAGAGGTGGAGCTCTCGCCTCACAATCAGGAGGCTGTGAGTTCGATCCTAGGTAGAGGCAGATATTTCTCTCTCTATCTGGGCACAATGAGAATTTATCTGCTGAATAAAACTCCGCATTGGTGACAGGAAGGGCATCCGGCCAGTAAACACTGCTCCATTCAGTTGCCCAGACTCTACCCCGGTGCAAGGGATTATGAGGTCGTTAAAAGGAGATGATGTTTACTGTCCATTCAAAGTTATAACAGCAGCCCAGAATTTCATTCATAAGTCACTAGCTGGTAGTGACTTACGACCGTTTTTCACACGACTGTTGTAGCATCACCCCCCAAAATTCAGACGCTCGGCAACTGGCTCGTATTTATGACGGTTGCAGTATCCCGGGATCACGTGATCCTCTTTTGTGACCGTCTGACGAGCAAAGTCAGTGGGGAACCCAGATTCACTGAACAGCCGTGTTAACTAATGTAGCGTTCTGCAGCGATTCACTTAACAACTGCGGTAAAAAAGGTCGTAAAATGGGGCAAAACTCAACCGCTGTCCTGCTTAGCAACGGAAATTTTGGACTCGTAAGTCGAGAAAAATCTGTAGAAGTTGGAGAACTCGGATGAATTCTTAGGAGAGTGGGAGACTGGAGAAGGTGGGACAATCTTCTCTTATGGTGCCCATAATAGTTAATATGCAGAAGAGGCTGTCATGGAGTCCTTGTTGTCTTCTGCTTGAAGGTTTAAGGAAGACTTTTCTGCAGGAGCTGTAGTGTTTAATTGCGTAGAAAAATGTTGGCGGGATCCTTCAACCTTGTATCCAGCAAAGTCATACAGTCATTAGTAAAATACATTTTTTCTGGGTGATAAGATAAGATACAAAATACAAAAGTAAATAGGAAAATGGTGGGGAGGAAGAGGGGGAAAAGAAGTGAGGAAGGATAAAGAAAAAAGAAAAAGAAAGATTGACTTCCAACTCTCTCTGTTCCAGTAAAATAAGGCATTCACATCAAATCACAACTTTTTTGCTTTTTCATAATAATATGAGCAAGCCGTTTCTATAAAGATCTATCAATCTACTCGGTAAAACCCAAAATCAAAGTTCCATTCTTTTCCACTTCATCCACAAAGTTTAGAAGCAAAAATACTTACAGGAGTGGCCAAAATTGTGGAAACCTTTTAGGAAAAGTGTATTTTCTAAAACTAGCTAATAATACCACTTTTTTTTGTAGTAGTAGTACCATAAAATGATATATCAATGGAAAGATAATTTAATCAAGAATGTAATGCAATAACTTTTAGGAAGGATTTGCTATTAGAATAGCAGTTGCAGTATAAAGAAGAAAAGTGAAACACGTAGAAAAAACGAGGTATACAAAAATTATCACCATGTCAGTTAGTTGGGTAACCTTTAGCATGAATGACGGCCTTACAACGTCTTCCCATAGAGTGAACCAAGTCTTTGAGTTCTGCAGATGTTCTAATGTGAAACCAAGATTGAATGATGGCTTCTATTAACTGGATTTTATTTATTGCTGGGTCGCTTCTGACTAACAAGTTTCTTTAGTCGGCTCCATAGATTTTCCATTGGGTGAAGGTCTGGGCTATTCCCAGGCCATTCCAGCAGTGGAATAGGATTATCTTGAAACTCCAAAAAAAAGTGGTGTGATTAGCCATCAAACCTCCAAAATACACTTTTCCCAAAAGATTTCCACAATTTTGGCCACAACTGTATAATATTCTTTTCTTTAATCAAAGTGGTCAGTTTCGCCATTTCAGCCAACTCCATCAACTTCTGCAACCATTCCGTCCATGTTAGGAATCGAACTGTCCTTCCATTTTTGCGCATAGAAAAGTCATACGGTCATGATACCTTAATTCTAATGTCTTCTCCTTCCCTCAGGTGTTCTTCATTGAGTCCGTCTGCAACGACCCGACTGTGGTGGCGAGCAACATCATGGTAAATATGAAGAGAGTTTCCTGTCCCTCAAGTCCTGTCTGGACCCCAGAAAATCCTTCAGATTGGGCTGGAGAAGAATAATATTTCTGGGAAGGGATCAGTGGTGGGATTTAGCCGGTTTGGGCGAGCCAGTAGTTAAATTGCTGGCTGGCCCCACCCCATCCCTTCCAGGAGTCCCCAGGTGCCCCATTTTGACTCCCAGGAGGCTACAGGGAGACCTACTAGGGCCAAAATGGTGCAGGGGTGGGCGCATCCCCCCCAGCGGCCCATTTTTGCTCCCACCATGGCCACACCCACCTAACCATTATGGCAGAGAACCGGTTGTTAAATTATTTGAATCCCACCACTGGAAGGGATCAGAGTTGAGTGAGAGAACATCTCTCACCAACTGATCAGTTTGTTTGGTGATTGTTCAAAGTTACAATGACCCTGAAAAAAAAAAAAACCCAGTGACTTACGACTGTTTTTCGCACCACGGCAACCTCTCCATGGTCATGGGATCAAAATTCAGACATTTGGTGACTGACTCATATTTATGACGATCGCAGTGTCCTGGGGTCACGGGATCACTTTTTTTGCGTCCTTCTGACAAGCAAAGTCGATGGGGAAGCCAGATTCGCTTAACAACCTGGGTTACTAACTTAGCAACTTCAGCGATCAACTTAACCACTGGTGGTAAAACGGGGCAAAACTGTCTCGCTTAGCAATGGAAACTTGGGGCTCCATTGCGGTCCTAAGTCGAGGACTTAGCCACAAGACAGATTGAACACTGTGGACTTTATTTTGTTAACGGTGTTTGTCAACCTGGCCAACTCTTAAGATGTGTGGACTTCAACTCCCAGAATTCCCCAGCCGGCTGGCTGGGGAATTCTGGGAGTTGAAGTCCACACATCTTAAGAGTTGGCCAGGTTGACAAACGCTGCTTTTTTTAACATCGCTAAAACAGACTTGATATAACGATGGGCTTGTTGCTATTTTTAACCTTTCCTATTTTTTAGGAAGTCAAGCTGTCCAGCCCGGATTATAAAGACTGCAACTCAACGGACGCCATGGAAGATTTCATGAAGAGAATCAGCTGCTATCAATCCAGTTACCAACCTCTTGATCCGGATGGATACGACAGGTCAGGAAACACCGGGATTACTACTCCTGGTTCAGCTGGGTCCAGATTTGCATTCAAGCTACTCAAACCAGCTGCTTCTTTGCTGAAAATACAAGTAGTCCTCAGTTAACAGCCATTCATTTAGTGACTGTTTAAAGTTACAACCGCGTGGAATGAAGGGACATACAATCAGTCCTTGAAGTCTCATGGAGTGTAGTTTGCGGTGGTGGAGGAGGACTTTACGGTCCTTGGTGCTCTCTGACCTGGGTTGTTTGCTTGAAGACATTTCATGACCCCACTAGGTAACATCATCAGTGCTCTGAGAGAGTTGATCTCACTGTGGCTTTGAGGGCTATTTCACGCTACCATGGTCATCCTTTGTGTTTTCGTCCCCTAGAGAGTTGTCGCTCATCAAAGTGATCGACGTTGGTCGAAGGTACCTGGTGAACAGAGTCCAGGATCACATCCAAAGTCGGATTGTCTACTACCTGATGAACATCCACGTGCAACCCCGGACTATCTACTTGTGTCGGCACGGCGAGAGCGAATTCAACCTCAAAGGGAAGATCGGTGGCGACTCGGGGCTCTCCAGCAGAGGCAAGAAGGTATGGGTGTCATTTACTTCTGAGTAAATGGACCTGGGAGTGGGGTGGTAGGAGCGTAAGCCAGAATTGCCTTCACAAAGAAGAAGGGGTGACCTTCACAGAAAGCCAGCGAAGGTCCACTGAAAACATCTTACAATGCTTGTGGTGACCACCAAGGTTAACCAATTTCCAAAAGTATTTCTTGAGAGATCTTGCTTTTTGGAAAAGACAAACTTCTCTTTAGTTTGTTCCTCCATAAAACCATTTTGGAAGACAGAGGAACTCTTCAGGAACCGTGGAGAACCTTGAAGCTTCTGGAGAACTTTGTGGTGGTCTAGAAGACATTCTTGAATGAGTTCCATCTTCCCCAACCCTTTGAGGGAAGATCTCCTTTGAATAGTTCAGTTTCTGTTGACTTTCTTTGTCACGTCTTTGTAGTTTAATGGAAGTAATTTTCAGAATTTATTTTTTTTTCAATTTTTCTGTCTGGCCCACAGCTTTGGGCTAGAGTCTAGACCAAATACTTTGGCCCTGACAAACAGTTAGTTAGCCCAAACCCACAGGAGCTGAGTCATCATTTTCTGTATATTTCCTTTCTTTTCTAGTTTGCCAGCGAGCTGAACAATTTTGTCAAGGAGCAAAATCTGAATGATCTCAGAGTCTGGACCAGCCATCTAAAGAGGACAATCCAGACGGCAGAAGCTCTTGACCTGCCCTATGAGCAGTGGAAGGCTTTGAATGAAATTGATGCTGTAAGAACCACTTTTTTGGGGGAGCATTGCAGAATAAACCAAAGGGTGGGAATGGGACGCAGCGGCTCAGTGGCTAAGATGATCAAAAGGTCGGCAGTTCAGTGGTTCGAATCCCTAGTGCAGCATAACGGGTTGAGTTCCCGTTACTTGTCCCAGCTTCTGCCAACCTAGCAGTTCGAAAGCACGTAAAAATGCAAGTAGAAAAATAGGGACCACCTTTGGTGGGAAGGTAACAGCGTTCCGTGCGCCTTTGGCGTTTAGTCATGCCGGCCACATGACCACGGAGACGTCTTCGGACAGCGCTGGCTCTTCGGCTTTGAAGCGGAAATGAGCACCGCCCCCTAGAGTCGGGAACGACTAGCACATATGTGCGAAGGGAACTTTTACCTTTACCTATTGGTGGAAAAGCTGTCCATTCTCTTCCTTCCCCCCTCCATCTCACTCTCTCTCCAAAAAGAGACCCTCCTGGCTCTCCAAGGAAGGATTGAGAAGAATTTGGCTGACCATTCTTAGGTTACTGGAGAAAGAAAGGCCCCCTTCATTTTCCCGTCCGTTCTGAGTGTGAGAATTAAGTTTCCACTCAGTCTGTAAACATGAGATAAGAACAAAGGTGGACAGGTGCCAAGGGCACGAGACCGGCCTGTTTGGAGAGAAGGGGACAAGAAGTTCTTGCAAAAGTTGGAAGGAAAAAGAGAATGCAAGAGAGTTTGGAACTTGTTTCCACATAGCAAGGGTGGCCAAATCTCGCAACTTTTAAGACTTGGGGACTTCAACTCCCAGAATTCCTCAGCCAGCCAATTGATCTGAATAACCAAGGTGATTATGTAGAATTCTAGGAGTTGAAGACCACAGAGCTGGAAGTTGTCCAAACTGGCAGAGACACTCTAGGACAGGGGTCCCCAAACTTGGCAGCGTTAAGACTTGTGGATTTCAACTCCCAGAATTCTCCAGCTATGCTGGCTGGAGAATACTTGGAGTTGAAGTCCACAAGTCTTAAAGCTGCCAAGTTTGAAGACCTCTGCAAAATTCCCCAAATAGATATGAAAATACAGCAGATGTTGAAATTTGTTTTGAGTTATGGCTGCTGAGCACAGTCTGGTGTAAAGATTGGCAGAATTTTGGGAAAGCGCTGTAAAGTGGATTATTTCTTCTTCTTCTTCTTCTTCTTCTTCTTCTTCCTCCTCTTCCTCCTCCACTCCTTCTCCCTCTCCCCCTCCCCTTCCTTTTCTTCTTCCTCTTGTTCTTCCTCCTCCTCCTCTTCTCCTTCTCCTTCATCATTCATCATTTCTTTCTTTCTTTTTTTTTTTTTGTAGGGTGTGTGTGAAGATATGACTTATGACGAAATCAAAGAAAAGTATCCGGAAGAATTTGTTCTACGTGATCAAGACAAATATTATTACCGCTATCCATCAGGAGAGGTTTGTGTTTTGTCACACCAAGTGTGTTTTTAACCGTTGGGTGGGATGGATGCCCAAGCAATATGCTAGTGCTGATCTCCTGAAACCTGAAATTGGGAGCCTTAACATTTCCTCCCACCCCATGTGGCTCTTGGGCCAATGTTGGAATTATTAAAACAATTGTGTACAGGTAATCCTCGACTTGCAACCGTTTGTTTAGCGACTATTTGAAGTTAACACCTACGTTAAAAAAAAATACGACTTAGAACTGGTCCTCATATTGGTAGTCCTCAATTCACGACCACGATTGGAGCCAAAATTTCTGTGACTGAGACATTTGTTAAATGAGTTTTGCCCCATTTTTCCACCTTTCTTGTCACCGTTGTTAAGTGAATCACCACAGGTTTTAACTTAGTAACATGATTATTAAGCGAATCTGGCTTCCCCATTGATTTTGGCCGTCAGAAGGCCTCAAAAAGGAATCACGTGATGCCAGGGCACTGCAACCCTCATAAATACGAGTCAGTTGCCAAGCATCTGAATTTTGATCATGTGACCGTGGGGATGCTGCAGTGGTCATAAGTGTGAAAAACGGTTGAGGACTCCCTGTACTAAAGGAGGCCAGGAAATTCCTCTTACAGGATCCAAGATTGCCCATTTCTGGCACTGCATAGTTTTTGCAGCCTTCCTTGACAACTTTAAGACTCGTGGACTCCAATTCCCAGAATTCCTCAGCCAACCAATTCATTTGATGGACGTTTCTCTAGAATTCTGGCAGTTGATGCTGGCGGAGGAATTCTGGGAGTTGAAGTCCACAAGTCTTAAAAGTGGCCAAGATTGGAGATCCGGGCTCTGCGGCTCATTTATTTCTGCAGAAAGACAAATCTGTTTCTCATCACCTTCTCTTGGTCCTTTTTTCCTCCCCGAACCCCTCAGTCCTATCAAGATCTGGTGCAGAGATTGGAACCGGTCATCATGGAGCTGGAAAGACAGGAAAACGTCCTTGTGATTTGTCACCAGGCCGTCATGCGTTGCCTCTTGGCTTACTTCCTCGACAAAAGCGCAGGTGGGCCTCTGCAACTTCCCTGACGCAGGAATGGAAGAAATGAATTTAGGATGGGCGCTGTGGTCCTTGCAAGGGGGGTGTTAACTGACTCCCCCCACCATCCACCCCCCAAGCAGGGGAGAAACCTTCAAGCAGGATCTGGAACCGAAGAAGCTTGTTGCACGAGAAGTAAAACGTTTCAAAGGACTTCAAGAAAGTCCAGTTGTCTTTTGGAAAAAATAAATACCTCTGGGATTTTCCCAAAGGTGCTTTTTTTCAGGAGGCAACTGGGCTTTCTTGTTTTTTCTTCTTTTGAAGACGTTTCACTTCTCATCCAAGAAGCTTTTTCAGCTCTGACTGGATGGTGGGGAATGGGAAGGATTTATATATTCCTTGCAGACAGCTGGTCATTTGCATCCTTTTAGAGAATCCTTGAGGCCACTTGGAGGTTTCTCTGTGTCTTCAGGGTCACCTGAGCAGTGCAAATGGTTCCCATAGTCTGCAATTTTTTCCTCTGGGAATCCATTCCTACTCCCACACCATTCACAGAGTATCCGTCCCAAATTGTATAGTTAAAAATCTGTAGAGATTCTCAGTCACCCAGATTGTCCCAAAGATGCTTTTTCAGGAGGCAACTGGACTGTCTTGTTTTTTCTTTTGAAGACGTTTCGCTTCTCATCCAAGAAGCTTCTTTAGCTCCTTTGGGATTTTGAGCAGTTTTTTTTTTTTCTTTTCAAACGGGACAATTTCAACTCCCAGAATTCCCTGGGCACCGTTCTGAATTCTGGGAGTTGAAGTTTGAAAAGGGCTGGATTAAAAGGGAGTTGTAGAAGCAGGATGGGAGGGTACCGTTTGTGTCCAGGTGTAGCATGAATCCAGTCGATCGTTTTTAATCCTTTATTTTATTTTGCCTTTCAGAAGAAATGCCCTATCTGAAATGTCCTCTCCATACAGTCCTGAAACTGAGTCCTGTAGCTTACGGTGAGCAAATATGTTTCGTAAGAGAACAGCTGTGTTCGCACAACACGCTCGGCTTGGCTAAAATCAGGCACACGAGGCGATTGGTGTGGTTACAGATAGTCCTTAACTTACAACCATTCATTTTGTGACCAAAGTTGCAAAAGCACTGAAAAAAGTAACTTATGACAGTTTTTCACACTTAACAACCATTGCCGCATCCCCGGCCGAAGAGGTTGTAGGGAAAAAAATGCCTTTAAAAGCCTCTGGCGATCCCAGTTGAGCTGCCTGATCGTCAGAGGCTTTTAAAAGCATTTTTTTCTGCAACCTCTTAAGGTTGTAGAAAAAATGCTTTTAAAAGTAAAAAAAAAAAAAAAAAAGTTGGTCACTCCCACCCAGTCACCTTACTCCCACCACCAAGCCATGCCCACAGAACCGGTAGTAACAAATTTTAGAACCCACCCCTGGATCGCACTACTAACTTAAAACAACTGTGGGGATTCATTTAATGACTGTGGCAAGAAAGGTCATAAAAGGGAACAAAATTGAACTTAACAGATGTCTGGCTTAGCTAGCGAACAGAAATCTCGGGCTTCATTATGGTCGTAAATCGAAGACTATCTCTATGAGCAACTTGACTGGGGAAATCTCCCAAGCTACAAGGGAAGAATCAAGAACTGTGTCTGTTTAGCAAGAGAATGGAGGGTTTACTGCCTTCCCTTCCCCATCTTTTACTCTTATCTAGGAGTTAAGATAAGATTGAAGACAGTTCAGCTCAAGAGGTTCCACAGAATGCAAAAGTCAATTTAGCATTGATTGTATAAGCCCCGATCAATACCCCATAATGCTACCTTAGCTGTTTTGCATCCAGAACAGATGGTTTAGCTCAGGAAAATTGCCCTGTGCCTCACTTCCTATTTGCTTTACCCATTTTTTGGTCAACATAACCAGCGTTATCACAGAGCAGTGCATATAAAACTCCCAGGGTTGTCCCCTAATTAAATAATAATAATAATAATAATAATTGCTGCTGTTCTCATACTTTTGACTTGAATTTGACTATCTTTGCTCTTCTCTGTGGCATTCCTGAAGGACAAAAAAATGCTTTTTCCTGGGTGCTGTTTGAACCCCTGCAGGTTCAGTGCTGCTTTTAAGAATTAATTGCTCAACTGATTTAATTTAAGTTACATTTAACACCCCACCCCACCCCCAAATACTTGAGTCTGTTTTAATCTCATAATCGGATTAAAAGAGCGCAGCTGAAGCGCTGACATGTTCTTCATCCTGCCACATCCTCCTTTCCTCTTTCTCTAAGGTTGCCGAGTGGAGTCCATCTATCTGAACGTTGAAGCTGTGAATACTCACCGGGACAGGCCAGAGGTGAGTGCAGCTGGCTTGCTAAGGGGCCATTCTCTCTCTTCCCCCCTCACCCTCAAAATACATCATGAGCTCATAGCACAGGCACCTATTCCCCAAAAAATGTTCAGCATTGGATGCCCCTTATTTTACTCTGCAAAGGATTCCCAGTTCAGTTATTGGCCTTTCCAGCTGCAGGGCTGGAAATTTTATTTACAGTCTTGTTACTCATCATGCCTTGGTATGGCCACACTTGGAATAGTGCATCCAGTTTTTGTCGCCACGATGTAAAAAAGATGTGGCGACTCTAGAAAAAGAGTGCAGAGAAGAAAGAGCAACAAAGATTATTAAGGGACTGGAGGATAAAATCTAGAAATAAAGGTTGCAGGAATCGGATATGTCTAGTTTAATGAAAAGAAGGACCAGGGGTGACATGATAGCAGTCTTCCAATATTTGAGGGGCTGCCACAAAGAAGAGGGAGTCAAGCTATTCTCCAAAGCACCTGAAGGCAGGACAAGAAGCAAAGGATGGAAACTAATCAAGGAGAGAAGCAACCTAGAACTAAGGAGAAATTTCCTGACAAAACAATTAACCAGTGGAACAACTTGCCTCCAGAAGTTGTAAATGTTCCAACAGTGGAAGTTTTAAAGAAGAGATTGGATAACCATTTGTCTGAAGTGGTGTAGGATTTCCTGCCTAAGCAGGGGGTTGGACTAGAAGACCTCCAAGGTCCCTTCCAACTCAGTCTAGTCTAGTCTATCACTGTGGCCAGTAAATAAGGAATAAGAATTGATTCAATCAGAGGCCTTTTTTTCTGTGGCTTAAAGCCAGGCTGTGCCCCCTTTAAAATGATGTGTATTCAACAGCTTACCAATGTAGGAATTTTGAGCTGAAAAGGCAAGCTTTAAACTGGGTTTTGCATAAAAGCCACTGGATAATTTTACAAGCCTTTAAAAGTGTTGATAAAGATAAGACAGTGGTCAGATTTGATCTTCTGTGCCTTCACTTTGCTGTCCAGGTACCTTCCTCCTCAGTGAAAGCAGCCAATTCTCAACGATCAATGTCATCAGCTATTTATCTTTCAAATTTTATTTCTAAATTTATATATTACAGCTTACCTCACTGTTGAAGCTAAGCGCTAAATGTTTCACTAGGGTAAAAAAGCTGTTGGCTTCCATCCCACATTTTGTAGGTAAAAAGATAGTCAAGTTTAATGGAACGTTGATTTCAGTCTGGCTCCGCCTACCTCTTTAGTTTGACCCCACCTCCTTTTTTGGGGGGGTAGGACACCCCTCTCTGGATCAAACAATGACCTCAGACCTCATCGCTGAGCTCCCAATTCCCCCAAATCTTTCCATCCTCTTCATCTGCTTGCAAAAAACTAGGGGAAAAAAATCTGGTTCTTCTTTGGGCTTCTCAAATCCTGTTTCCCAGAAACCGTAGAACGTCCGGCTTGGAAAGCACCTCAGAGGTCATCTAGTCTGACCCTCTGATGAAAAAAAATTGTCTTTTTGCTTTCGCTTTTGTGTGTGCGACGGTGAACCGATGACCTCGTTTTGTTTTATTTTTAAATGCTCTCTTTTTGTTTTTCTTGATAGCTTTCATCTCTCTTTATTATTATTGTTGTTATTTTTCTTATCTTTCTCTCGCTCCGATCTAGGACGCAAAGAAGGGACCACATGCGCTCATGAGGCGTAATAGCGTGGTCCCTCTGGCCAGTCCAGAACCCGTCAAAAAACCTCGCATGAACAGGTTTGAAGAACATGCCACTGCTTCAGCCGCCTTACCAGTCCATACCTGCCTCTCTCCGGAAGGCCCCGTACAGCTTCCCGGACAAGTTGGTTCTTTTTTCTTTTGTTGGTGTTGTGTTTTTGTGGTGATGGCTGATAGTGGGTCGTAATTTCCAGCATGCCTGACCGTCCCATTTGTGTGACATCTTAGGAGGACATGCTTGGTCTTGCTTAATTTTTGTTTGAACGGACACACTTCCTCGCTGACCTTCTCTTGATATCATTGGAGGGTTCAAAATGTTTTCGGCTAGCTAACCTAACTAACTAACTAACTAACTTGCACGGGCGTGTGTGAGGGTGTGAGCGGCTTAATCTCGACTGGGCAAGCCCTTGAGTCGCCACGGGGATCAGTCACGCCGAATACAGACAGTCCTCGACTTACAACCAAGATGGCGACCAGAATTTCCGTTGCTTAGCAAGGCAGTGGCTGGTTTTGCGCCCCTATTTTGCTGCAGTTGAGCGAATCCCTGCCATTGTTGAGCGAGCCACTGCAGTCGTTAAACAAATCAGGCCATCGTTAAGCAAATCTGGCTCTTCCCCCCCCATTGACTCGGCTTGTCAGAAGTCAGCCGGGAAGGTCATAAAAATAACGATCGCACGACCCCGGGATGCTGCATCTGTCATAATGATGTGCTAATTATTAAGCACTTAAATTTTGATCGCATGACCATGGGGACGCTGCTACTTGCAGTTGTAAGCGGAAGGACCGGTTGTAAGTCCCTTTTCCCCAGCACCGTTGTAATTTCGAACGGTCACTAAAACAGATGGTTGGAAGTCGAGGACTGCCTACAATCCCAGAAAGGCATTTTTTTTCCTTAAACGTTTTTTTTTTTTTGAACATGCATTGAAGAACGTTGGTTTGGTTTGCACGTTGCTTTTTTTTAATCATCTCCACTAACCCTTCTCAAAAGTTTCTAATAGGCCCTGATTGTTTGTAGAGATTCTCAGTCATCCAAGTCATGGTTATCTATCTATCTATCTATCTATCTATCTATCTATCTATCTATCTATCTAAGCTTATATGCCGCCCTCTCTCTGGAAAGGACTCAGGGCGGCTCACAGCAATAAAAACAGATAAAATCAATATTAAGTGTTAAAAACCATTAAAACTCCCCTTAAAAACCCCTTCAGTCCAATCCGGCCTGGCGAAATAGCCATGTCTTAAGGTCACTTTCCTGTCAGAGCTGAAGAAGCTTCTTGGATGAGAAACGAAACGTCTTCAAAAGAAAAAAAAAAAATCCAAGAAAATCCAGTTGCCTCCTGAAAAAGCACCTTTGGGTTAGGCCCTAATTAGGAGCCGAGGATTTCAGGGGCATCAGATCAATTACCGACTGAGGAAAATATTTGTAGCTCAGGGTTGAAATGTGAGACGTCCTCGATGCTCTCAGAGCTTGGTAGTTTTCTTGCAAACGTTTCGTTACCCAACGAGGTAACTTCATCAGTGTTAGTAGGTGGTATGATTTGCTCCTGTCACTCCCTTGCAGCGCTGATGAGGTTATCTAGTTGGGTGATAAAACGTCTGCAAGAAAACCACCAAGCTCAAGAGAGCACCAAGGACCCCTCCTCAGATCAAATTGCTCGTCGTATTTATTTGGGGTGTGTGTGTGACTCTTTTGAGATCCAGGCCACCGAATGGTTTTAGACAATGAAAAATCAAAAAAAGGAACATTTTTGCATTCGACTGCCGGCAGGCTCCATGAGCCTCAGCCTGCCTGGAGAAAGTCTGCAAATATTTTGTCTGTTGGCTCGTAATCTCTGTCCCAAGGCTATTTTAGAGGGCCAAAGGAACAAGATTGCCCTGGCACGACCCATTTTTATTTATTTTTTTATTTTTAAATGAGACAATTTTTCTGTGTTTCTGCCAGCTAGAGAGCAGTACAACAATGGCTTCATACTAAACTGCCGCGTTTTGAATCTTGGCCATTTTATGAGGGGTGGACTTCAACTCCCAGAATCCCTCAGCTGCTGGCTGGGGGATTCTGGGAGTTGAAGTCCACCCCTCTTAAAATGGCCGAAGTTGAGAAATGCTGTTCTCATAAAAAGTCTGAAACGATCTCAATTAGCAGCCCTTGTTTGAAAAGACTCCGAGTTGCTGGTTTTTTGGTGCTGCTTCTCCATGCACGAAGGCTGATCCTGAATCAGCTGCTTCATGTCTCTTGATTTATCTGCTTCTACCCCATTGCTTTCCATCTCTGGGCTGCCATTTTCTGATTGCTAAGCTTTCATGCGCCTTCACTGATTTCTTTCCCTTTATTTTATTTCTTTTCTCTCTCTTTTTTTCTTTTGTCTCTTTACAGCCATTACTGGGGAAGGCTTGCCTGTAAGTAACTTGTGTGTGTGTGCGTGTGCGTGTGTGTTGGTTTAACCTGTTTCGTTGCTGCCTGGCTGGCTGTGTCTTTGTTTCTTAATCATTTATTAAATTTATATGCCACCCATCTCGCCGATATGGTGACTTTTGGTTTTGCTGGCAAGAATCCATGTTGAGCTTTTGATTTTCCATCTGGCTGTTGCATTTCTGTCATTAACCGTTAGAAAATCATTTCCTGTTTTCATGCACCAAGAGAATAGTATTTTGGCCTAGGATAGCAGATGGATGGATGGATGGATGGATGGATGGATGGATCCTAGATAGATGAGGGAGACTGGATGGATGGATAGATGGATAGATAGATGATGATAGCTAGCTAGCTAGCTAGATAGATAGATAGATAGATAGATAGATAGATAGATAGATAGATAGATAGATAGATAGATAGATAGATAGACCGACCCTGTCTTATATTTTTTTTGAACCCCAAAATAAGTGCTTGGCCTTATTTCCGGGGAGGTCTTATTATTTTGGGGCACGTGGAGCAAGATGGGGCTCCTCTTGCCATCTTACCTGATTTCCAGCTCTGCGTTTAAATATTTTCAGGGAGGGCTTATTTTCAGGGGGAGGCTTATTTTAGCGCATGCACTCAAAAGCCCATTGGGCTTATTATCTGGGGATGTCTTATTTTCAGGGAAACAGGGTAGGTAGGTAGACAGACAGACAGACAGACAGATCCTAGATAGATGAGGGAAATTGAATGGAGAGAGAGAGAGAGAATAGATAGATGGGAGGGAGGGAGGGATCCTAGATAGATGAGGGAGAGTAGATGGATGGATAGCTAGAGATAGCTAGATCAATAGATAGATAGACAGACAGACAGATCCTAGATAGATGAGGGAAATTGAATGGAGAGAGAGAGAGAGAGAGAATTAGATAGATGGGAGGGAGGGAGGGATCCTAGATAGATGAGGGAGAGTGGATGGATGGATAGATAGAGATAGATAGATAGATGAAGGAAATTGGATGGAGAGAGAGAGAGAATTAACAATAGCACTTAGACTTATATACTGCTCTGTACTGCTTTACAACCCTCTCCTAGCGGTTTACACAGTCACTCTGTGTCCCCCAACAATCTGGGTCCTCATTTTACCGACCTCAGAAGGCTGAGTCAATCTTTAGCCGGTCAGGATCGAGCTCCTGGCAGTGGGCAGAGTTTGCCTACAATACTGCGTTCTAACCACTGCGCCACCATTGGAAATTAGCTCACCTAACTGTCTCGCTTAACAACAGAAATGTTGGGCTCAATTGTCGTTAAGTCGAGGACTACCTCTGTTCCTGTAATGCAGCATGGGAAGTTAAGAAACCGAATTTTCTTTGGAATCAATTCTGCCACCGTCTTTTCCTGGGTTAGCAAAGGGAGGGCAAAAGGGCAGCAGAGAAGACTTGTCTTAAAGGTAGTTATGGAAGCCAAATTTAATGTTGGGGTGCTGGTGAAGCATCTACATCCCTACTTTGAGCAATGCTGGGGCAAGCCTTTCCTTCTGCCCCATGACAGGTGGCCATCTTTTTTTTTGGCTGTACACCGCCCTGAGTCCTTCGGGAGAAGGGCGGTATAGAAATAAAATTATTATTATTATTATTATTCATCACCTCCTTGTCTTTGTTCTTCTTGTACTGAAATGCGGATGTGGGTCTTTCAGCTTCACTTCACACTTTCAGCTTCATTTTTTTTCCCCCAAAGGGAGTTTGCTGCGTTGTGTGTGACATTTGGACTAGCTAGCCTCACTTCTTTGTATTGGAGTAACAGGTGTTGCAAACATTTTGGGTTTCTCTCCTTCCCTCCCCACTCCATTCCCTTCCTCTCCTCTCCCTGACCTCCTCTCTCCACCCCTCCCCTTTTCCCTCTCCCCTTCCCTCCTTTCGCTCCTTCCCTCTCTCTCTCTCTCCTCCCTTCCCCTCTCCTCTCTCCTTCCCTTTTCTCCCCTTCTCTATCACCTCTCTCCTCCCTTCCTCTCCTTCCCTCTCCTCTCCCCTTCCCTCCTTTCACTCCTTCTCTCCTCTCTTCCTCTCCTCAATTCCCCTTTTCCCTTGCCTTCTGCATCTCCCCTCTCCTCTCTCTCTCCTTCCCTTTTCTCCCCTTCTCCATCACCCCTCTCCTCCCTTCCCCCTCCTTCCTCTTCTTCCCTCTCCTCTCCCCTTCCCTCCTTTCGCTCCTTCTCTCCTCTCTTCCTCTCCTCACTTCCCCTTTTCCCTTGCCTTCTCCATCTCCCCTCTCCTCTCTCTCTCCTTCCCACCCCTCTCCCTGGCCTCCTCTCCACCCCTCCCCTTTTCCCTCCTCCCCCTCTCCCCTTCCCTCCTTTCGCTCTTTCTCTTTCCCTCCCCTTCTCCCTCCCCTCCCCTTTTCCCTTGCCTTCTTCATCTCCCCTCTCCTCCCTTCCCCTCCTCCCCTCCCCTCCCCTCCCCTCTCCTCTCAGGGTTGAACGGTGGGGTCTTTGGTGCTTTCTAAGCCTGCTGGCATTCTTGCAGATGTTTCATTACCAAGCTAGGTAACATTGTCAGTTTTATGTGAGTAGGCAGGAAGCTTCGAAACGCAATCAATTGTCTGCAGATTGCAGATGGTTTGACTGTTTTGTAGAATTCGGTCCAAGAGACATGGACAAGCCTAACCTTTGGTACAGAGAAACAGGACCTCTTGCACGCACATCTAACAACCTTTTTTCTCCACCTCCCGTTTGTCCCCCTCTCTAGATCATTTTTCTTACCGTGACTGTCTCTTCTGCATGTCTAGTTCTAGTTCAGCCGCTTCTCCACCCCTTTCTCCAAACCCAAAGCCACCATCTCACGTTGGTCTTCTTCTCTTTTTTTTTTCTTCCTTTGTCGGCAGAACCTGAATCCTCCACACACCCAACCTTGAGAATCTCTTTCGGCGGGACTTCGGGAACCTTGGTGGAAGCCAACCGCCGTGCCATCATTCATCTCCGAAACTTGGCAGCCTGCTCCACAACATCTCCGTTCGACTCCAGTTGATTTGTTGATGATCTCCATCGCTGGTTTATCTTGCCTTCTTGGACTTAAGAAAAATGGAGCGGCGGAAGGAGGAAACACCAGAGAGAGAGAGAGAAAGAAAGAAAGAAAGAGAGATGGAGGAAAAAATAAAGGAAAAGAAAGAGACTTTATTTCATCAGCATATAAACTCTGGATCTGAACCTGATTTTAAAGCTGGGTTTGGTTTTTTTTCCCCATCTACTCCAATTTGACTCCAGCAAGCACCAAAATGCTTCTGTTACACACCATACGTCCTACAAGTTTTGGTCATTGTTATTCTGTTTTGTTTCGGTTTTAAAGCAGCGAGCTTGCCTTGCAGAAGATTACTATGTTGACCCGCAGCATCTCTTTAAGATAAAAGGGTTAGGGTCAGCTTAGGTGGGCTTTGTAGCTAAGACAGAGGCGAAAGGGGAGATGAAAAGTGTGAACATTCGTGAGTCTGTCCCATCTCTTCGTTTCCACCTTAGATGTTCACTGAATTTTAGCTGTCCTTGGCGAACTGGTCCGAGACAGAGTCCGATCAGTTGCTCCCAGACTAGGCAGAGAAGAGAGATAAGAGGCCATAAAACAATTGTGAAAAGTTGGTCCGCGCTTTTTGTAAGCAAGGGCCTCTCCTTTCTTCTATAGGGGTGCATTAAAAGTTCCGTCCCCCTGAACATCCGCGTCAGTACAAGGACTGTGTCCTGACCCTGCTTTGGGATGTTTGTGTGTGTGTGTGAGAGAGAGAGTGATGGGACACGACACTTGGCACACCCTGGCCTCTTTTCTAGTTGGGTGGGAGACTTCCCACTCAGGAAAGGCCCATTTTTTTTAAGTCCGGTGTTAAGAGAGAGGCACTGGTCTTCTTTTCAGACCTGGGATGTGTGTGGGGGATTCTGCCCCGCCTTGCCTTTCCCCCACCTTTGTGTGTGTGGCTTGTGGGAAGGTCTCTTTGGAGACCAGTGAAGTCATAAGATGCATCGTTTACGTTACAAGCATCTCGCGGTGCAAACAGGGTATGTTCCTACCGACCGACAACGAATGAGCTTCCAGCAAACCGAGTCACTCGTGGATATCTGCAAATTTACAGCTGGCAAGGCTGTTTTTTTCCAGCTTTCCACTCTTGTTTTAGCCACTGGAAACGGATTTCTGACCCTCACGTTTGAGGCTCCGCCGTGTATCCAGCATAAATCTGCAAGTTTTCATATCAAGGAAAAGGGAGAGAGGGTTCTAGGGCTAGAGTTTTGTCCTAATCATGTGTTGCCAATAAAAATTGCACAGTTGAAGAACGGCTGATGTAGGTGCTCAACGCATTAGAATAGCATGTTTAGGAACAAAGTTAAGGTTAGTTTCATTCAGGTGGATTGATTTATTATGGGCCTCCCCCTTTTTTTTTTTACATGTTGAAATAACTATTCTTAGCAGTAGTTGTAGAGTATTATTTTTAAATGATCGTTTTTGATAGTTTTGAAGGACATCTGAGTAAATAAGCTTGCTTTCCTTTATGACCAGAATTTCTCCTGGTGACTTCTCAGCCTGTTTCTCCTGTTTCCCAGGTGTGCCACTCAATTCACAGTCCTCAATTCGACAGCGGGCTCAAATAAAACGAACGCTTTTTAAAACAAAAACAAAAAAAACCAACGTAATCGTAATTAAGTCTTTGGGAACTTTGAGGGAATTTGGGCCGCCAGGCGCGTTGTCGCAAGTTGATGCCAATCGCTTGAAGATGATTGTGTGTGTGACGGACAAAAGTAACAATAAGTCTGGTTTCGAACGCAAGCCCTCTTTTTTTAAGATTGAACTGTTCTGCCAAAGTTGACCCTGGAAAAGCTGTCCAGGATGATGAGATAGGAAGTAGACAACTGCTGGGCGAGGATGAGGTCCCCAAGGCGGACGGTTGCAGGGCGATAAAGGTGATTTTTATTTTCCAAATAAAGGATTGTTTGACCCAAGGCCCAAGCGTTGACTTGCTAATCTGAGAGGGTTTATATGTTTATAATAAGACTCCATGTAGATCGGCGGTAGGGGACTGATGGCTCCTTTATGGCTGGTGGACTTCAACTCCCAGAATTCTTGAGCCAACCGTGCTCAGGAATTCTGGGAGTTGAAGTCCATAAGTCATAAGGGGACCATCGGGCCCTTACTCCTAGTGTAAACGAAAATCTTTTTCTGCTTGTTAAGATTAACTTCTTTGAATTTTGTTTGGTTTTTAAAGACATTTTTTATTATTATTTTGAACGTTTTCAGGGCCTGTTTCGTTCTTTTTTTTTAAAAAAAAAACACTTTTACATAGGTGTGAATGGCCTCATCTCCCACCCTCAAATATTTCCTTTTGAAATTCTGTGGCAAATATTTTCTTTTGAAATTCTGTGGCAAATATTTCCTTTTGAAATTCTGTGGCAAATATTTCCTTTTGAAATTATATTTCCTTTTGAAATTCTGCCACCACAAAATAGAGCAAATGGGGGCAAAACAAAAACTTAACACTTCCCATCCTTACCCTGCCCTCCCCCCTAAAAAGCCGCCCCCCCCCCTTCTCTGGACAAAGTGCATTTTGCAATAATGGTTTTAGGCCAAATTGTTTTCTTACAAATGCTGTCCACCTTGAAAGAGACGGAAATAAGGAAATGGGGGGGATGAAATCTCAGAACAAAATGGATTTTTCCTGTTTGAAAGGAGGGAGAAAGCTTAAAAGGCTGTTAATTACCGTATTATTGTGGGATTGTGTAACGGTTTTTGTGGTTGCAGGGTGTGGGGCATGGCATGGAAATCCTATTTAAATGCTATTAAAAATTCTAGCAGTGGTGATTCCTCGGGTTGGTTGGTTGGGGCTTTTTTTCCCCTTTGATACTTGAAGTTAGATTTTTTTTAAACAACCATTTTTAAGAGCAAGAGGCTATTTATTTATTTAATTGATCTCGCAGAACCACGGAGTCTCCCCCCCCAAACTCGCTGTTCCAGTCTTCATAAATTTTGTATTGAAATTTTAAGTTTTATGTGTCTGTACGGGATGATTTTAATCTATTTTCTTTCCCCCTCATCCCTGAAGGTGAAGAGCTGCGTGGCTTATAAAACAGGCCTGTCCCTTTTTTGGAAATTTGTATATTTTGCAATTGCCGGACCAATTAAAATACCATCTTTAACTAGAACTATCGGAATTGAGAGTTGGTTTTTTTTTTGTTCATCAAATTTCTCCTCTCTTGTGGATAGTGGACGATGGGTTGGAGTTGGGTTGGATCGATCGGTCTTTAGAAATCAGGATAGGTTATTTATTTATCATAATTTTATTTGGGCCATGTTAACTTTTGGCTAGAATTGGGTATGTCTAGTTTAATGAAAAGAAGGACTAGAGGTGACATGATAGCAGTATTCCGATATTTGAGGGGCTGCCACAAAGAAGTCCAAAGCACCTGAAGGCAGGACAAGAAACAATGGATGGAAACTAATCAAGGAGAGAAGCAACTTGGAACTAGGGAGAAATTTCCTGGCACAACAATTAACCGTTGGAACAACTTGCCACCAGAAGTTGTGGGAACTCCCATCACTGGAGGTTTTTTAAGAGATTGGACCTCCCATTTGTCCAGAATGGTATAGGGCAGGGGTGGGCAAATGTGGCTCTTTTACAGCCTGTGGACTTCAACTCCCAGATGTCAGGTTTCAGTGTCGTCTCAAAATAAATTGCATTTCCAAACAAATAGTCTTTGATGAAATCTTTCATTTATTAAGCACGGCAATCTGTCCCCGATCATATCGTAGCCAACACTGACTTCCTGACCCCAAACCTTCCCTTTCCGTTCCCCAATTCTCTGCGTCTCATTGGCCAACTTCCAAATCACTCTCCCCATATCTACTACTTCAGCTCCCAGGAATGTCCCCCCCTCCTATTTCATCTCCTAGGGGATATTATCTTCAGGGAAAATAAGTAGGTGAAAAGTCAAGCGTCCTCTTGCCAGCTGCCCCCTTTTCTCCTTATGTCAGCACTGGAACGAATGTAGTTTGGAGTGCTGACATCAGAATTCCTGAGCCAGCTTGGCTGTCTCAGGAATTCTGGGAGTTGAAGTCCACAGGTTGTAAAAGAGCCCACATTTGCCCACCCCTGGTATAGGGCAGTGACGGCTAACCTTTTTGCCATCGTGTGTCAAAAGCATGGGGGGGGGTCGTGTGCGTGCATGCCCACACCTATAATTCAATACTACCCCTGTGCTCCCCCGCTTTTGGCACGTGATGACAAAGAGGTTACAGGTGGGCCTGGTAGGCCCGTTTTTCGCCCTCCCCAGGCTCCAGAGGCTTTCTTGGCGCCTGGGGAGGGCAAAAACAGCCTTCCCCACCCCCCTGGAGGCCAGAAACGGCCCGTTTCCCAACTTCCAGTGGGCCCGGAAGGCCCGAAAATCGACTGACCGGCTCGCACATGCACACTGGAGCTGAACTAGGGCAATGCTTGCGTGCCCACAGATATGGCTCTGCGGGCCACCTGTGGCACGCGTACCATAGGTTCACCATCATGGGTATAGGGTCTCTTGCTTGTGCGGGAGGTTGGACTAGAAGATCTCCAAGGTCCCTTCAGGTCTATCGAGATTCAGGTCAGGATTGTCCCAAAGGTGTGTTCCAGTTGCCTCTTGAAAAGGCACCTTTGGGTCTCTTCGAAGTCTGCTATTTATGCAGGGAAATTCCCTGGAGAAAACAATTATGTGTCAGCACTTCAAGCTGCATTTACTCTAGTGCTGACATAAGAAGGAGAAGCAAAAGCGTCTGGAAAGGGACGTTCGACTTTTCACCTACTTATTTTCCCTGGAGATAATATCCCCTAGGGGATGGGATGGGAGGGAGGAAATTCCTTTGAGCTGGAGCAGTAGATTAGGGGTAGAATGACTTGGAAGATGGCCAATGAGTGCAGGGGAGTGGGGAACGGAAAGGGAGGGTTTTGGGGCTGGAAGTCAGTGTTGGCTTCGATGGAGTCGGGTTTAGAATGCCGTGCTTAATAAATAGGAGTTTTTCTTCAAAGACTTTGTTTGAAATGCAATTTATTTGAGACGACCTCGAAACTTGACATTATGCTTGGAAGAGTTAGCGGTAAAGAAACCAGGCCGCCAAAGAATATAGCAGCTGGACACCAAAGCTGACACCAGCCAAAGCTGTTGTGGCCCACCCGTGGAGCTGGCAGCAGGCTTGAACAGGGAGGAGGTTGGGGAGGAACATGGGCCAGTCCTGGATTCTGGGGAAGGCTCTGATGAGGACTCTACGTCGGAGGCAGAGATGGGGCCAGGGCCGTCTGACAGTTATCAGCTGCCTTCGGTGTCAGATATCAGTGGGACAGAAGAACAGCTGGAGCCTGTTCCTGATGTGCACATGCGCAGAGCTGCCAGGAGAAGGGAAGTTAAGGAACAAGGGCCGACTCGAGTAAACGCACTGGTGGACGGTGAATGGCCCCTCCCATAGGGAATAAAGAGGAGCAAAAGGGGAGTGGAGTTTGCAGGAGACAATTAGTTCATTTCACTAGTGTGAAGATCTGTGACTCTCAGAGACTCCTTGCCAAGTCTTTTCTTGTACAGCGTTGCGTTTGGAAGATATCGGCCTGGCAGCTCTCCAAGCCTCATAAGGTCTGTGGTTGTAAATTCACCCTGGAAAGACTGTTTGCCGGGACTTTGCTGGATGTGAATGAGAGGAATTCACATTCGCTTAATAAAAAGGGGTTTTGTCGGGACACGGAGCCTGCTTTGTGAAGCCTAGGTCAGGACAAAAGCATAGGACAACTCAAAAAAGTAAGGCAAGATCAGAAAACATGGAGAGACCTGGCTCATAGAATGGCCAAGAGTCAGACACGACTAAATGGGTAACATCATCAATTTTATTATGTTTTTCAAGCTATAAAACACAAAAGAAAGTGAAACTAGTGGGAAAGAGAGCCTTGGTGGCGCAGCAGACTAATGCACTGTTAAGTAACACCAGCTGCCTGCAATTAAAGTAAGTTCGAATCTCACCAGGCTCAAGGTTGACTCAGCCTTCCATCCTTTCGAGGCGGGTAAAATGAGGACCCGGTTTGTGGGGGCAATAAGCTGACTTTGTATAAAAAAGAACACCGCTTTGGGGGGGGCAAAAGCCCTACTAAGCAGGTATATACAAAAGTATGAAGGCTATTGCTTAACGCATTGTAAGCCGCCTTGAGTCTCCGGAGAAGGGCGGCATATAAATCGAACCAATAAATAAATAAATAAATAAAACGAGGGGAGAAAAAGGGAAGAAAAAGAAGTGTAAGGTACAGAGGGAAAAGAAAAGAAAAGCATTGACTTCCAACTCTTTCGTGCCATAGAATAAAATATAGTAGCATTACAGTCTCAAGATGTACTTTTACATACTTAATATGCACTAATCATCTCTATAACAACGTATGTATCGAATTGACAAAACCCACAGTCAAAATTTCATTTCTTTCCATCTCGCACACAAAATCCAGATGTCTATGTACAGGTAATCCTCGATTTACGGCCTTTTTTTCAGTGGCGTTGTTCGAATGGTCACTAAATGAATGCCTGTTAGTTAGCGGGCTGCCTGTAGAAAGCACAAAATGCAGAAGTGGTTTCCCAGTAGAAACCCAGATTTGATGTAGGTAGTCCTTAATTTATGACCACAGTTTGAGGACAAAACTTCTGTTGCTAAGCAAGACAGTTGTTAAGCGAGTTTTGCCTCATTTTGCAACCTTTCTTGCCACAGTTGTTAAGTGAATCAGTGCAGTTGTTCAGTTAGCAACACGGTTGTTAAGCGAATTCTGGCTCCCCCATTGACTTTCTTTGTCAGAAGGTCGCAAAAGGGGATCACATGACCCCGGGAACAGTGCAACCGTCATAAATACGAGTCAGTTGCTCAGCGTCTAAATTTTGATCACGTGACCATGGGGAATGCCATGACGGTCATAAGTGTGAAAAACAGCCATTTTCAGTGCCATTGTAACTTGTCATTAAATGAACTGTTTTAAGTCAACAACTACCTGTATCATAAAGGAGAGGAGGTGGCTATGGTTAGAATAGAATTAGAATAGAATAGAATTAATAGAATAGAATAGAATAGAATAGAATAGAATAGAATAGAATAGAATTTTTATTGGCCAAGTGTGATTGGACACACAAGGAATTTGTCTTTGGTGCATACGCTCTCAGTGTACATAAAAAGACAAGATACATTCGTCAAGAATCATAAAGTACAACACTTAATGATAGTCATAGGCTACTAATAAGCAATCAAATCATACTAGGAAACAATATCAATATAAATTGTAAGGGTACAAGCAACAAAGTTACAGTCATACAGTCATAAGTGGGGGGAGATGGGTGATGGGAACGATGAGAAGATTAATAGTAGTGCAGATTTAGTAAATAGTTTGACAGTGTTGGGGAATTTATTTGTTTAGCAGAGTGATGGTTATTTGGGGAAAAACTGTTCTTGTGTCTAGTTGTTCTGGGGTGCAGGGCTCTATAGCGTCGTTTTGAGGGTAGAAGTTGAAACAGTTTATGTCCAGGATGGGAGGGGTCTGTAAATATTTTCACAGCCCTCTTTTTGACTCGTGCAGTATACAGGTCCTCCATGGAAGGCAGGTTGGTAGCCATTGTTTTTTCTGCAGTTCTAATGATCCTCTGAAGTCTGTGTCTGTCTTGGGTTGCAGAGCCAAACCAGACAGTTTTTTTTTTTAAATTTGATTTATATGCCGCCCTTCTCCGGAGACTCAGGGCGGCTTACAATGCGTTAAGCAATAGCCTTCATACTTTTGTATTTTTTTTTATACAAAGTCAGCTTATTGCCCCCACAAACTGGGTCCTCATTTCACCTACCTTAGAAAGGATGGAAGGCTGAGTCAGTCTTGAGCCTTGGCGAGATTCGAACCTGCAGTAATTGCAGGCATCTGGTCTTAATAACCAGCTGAATAACCAGGTGCCTTAGGCCACTGTACTACCAAGGCTCTTGGTAGTACATAGTTACGTGGTAGTTATAGAGGTGCAGGTGGAAGACTCAATAATTCCTCTCTGGTTGTTATCTTGCCGTGTTTTGATACACACAGAGACACTCATGATTGTGTGCGTGTGTTCCAATTTTACTTCCTGAGCCTAAAGAGCAAAGACACACCCTAACTTTTCTTTTTCTAACCCGCTCTCAAATTATC